TTCAGGTTTTTATTCATTTGTTTTGTTTTCTTTCTCCATTTACAATTGTGCTTTGTGTTTCTCCTGCTTCACTACCATCACAATTTCAACGTGATTTAAATTCCAACCTCACGTACTTCCTTCGTGTTTCTTATTTCTCTCTTTATTATTTTCTACTTTCATTGTTATTTAATATTCTAAGTAGTTTTATACATTTCATGCAATATTTTGTTATAAACTCTAAATGTTCTATTAGTTATTAAACTATTATGTTTTGGCATTAATTAATTGTTACGACTACAAAATAGAAAATTGAATATATTCGAACGAGAATGTAATTCATATGGACGTACATACATTTATACATATAAGTAATATGCTACAGTTAAAAGGCGTGACGTGGTCTGGAAACGAAATATCAACTGAAATTTTGTTTTCCATAAAAAATACGCAACGTAGCATAAATATTACAGCAGAGTGTTTTAACGAATGAATATGCGTTTTAATGACGAATGTTAACACGGCGTGTACATACATATTCATTAGTGTCATTTGACATTCCTGTTTTGCCTCGTGTTGCATTTCGTCTGAAATTAATTAATTCTTGAATGAATCTTGAAACGTCAATTTAAAGAAAGAAATGGGAACAAATAAATTCTGTATATTTTCACGTAATTATCGCACGTAAGGGATTTTAAGGGTATGCAAAGTGCTCTTCTTTTAACACCCTTCATTTTTCTCTCCAGCTGAATAAATGGCGTAATTAATATAATGATACAATACAATTTTTAAACGAGGGTAATTGTTGAATTACCGTACAGGCCGAATAAATTACACGTCCAGGAGGATGCTAGGGTATAAGGTAGGGCTACCAGGCATATCGTGTTGCATACTGCCCCGCCGTAAACGTGTAAGCTGTGCATTGTGGTAATCGTTACAAGCTTGTACTATCGCGAACGATGGACTATCAGTTGTATAATATGCATTCTAACCCGTATGGTATGTACGTGCGGCAGAAATCTTACATCGATATAATGTGTTACTGAAGTACGAATAACAGAACACCGATATTAATAGACTGCGGATATTATATTTACAGCAGCAGTTTAAAAAAATGTGTTTCAAATAGAATTTTTTTTTTATTTTTTAAGCATTGCAATGTACATTTTGTGTTTAGTATTCTGTACACTTTTATGCATCATTTGCAATGTTTATATTTTCTTTACATTCAATTTCCTCATAAATGAATAAAATCCGAAGCCCAGCTATCGAGTGGTTATTAATAACTTAAAAAATTGCGAAAATTCACGAAGTATGAAATAGTAAAATGAATGGAAAAACTGTGTAATTCATTCCTTTTTTAAATTTCACTTATTTTCGAGTCTATAAAAATGAATGTGACAATTAAAGCCGGTCATAGTTCTCGTTTCAGAACGACAGAGCACTAGAAAAATTAATCAATCTTCGTAGGTGAACAATATTATATAGGCGAAAAATTATTATCAAGTTCTGGATTTTCGAGGAAGGAAAAGTAATCGCCGGCGTACAACAAGCGATGTTACAAAAAAATATAAATCACGGTCACAGGATGAAACAACGTAGTTCCTCCGTTAAGCTCCTTTCGCAACGCGATCTTGTCGAATGATTAATCCGCGGAGATTAAAAAAGCTTCGTCGCGTGGCTCGTAATGAAAACGAATAACGTTCTTCGCCCGGGAGCAGATTACGCGATATTTTCGCGTGTTAGCCTTGCGCGATCTTGTTTCCCGTTTCAGCATCGAAAGTTGCAACGCCGCGCGCCACAGTGTAATCCACCGGAAGAGGACAGTTCGTAGCGATATCACCGAGTTCATTTACTTGTATCACCATCTCGTTTTTTTTTTTCTCTCGCTCAGCGTTTACTACGGTTCACGCACGAACGTATAATAACGCACTTGCGTAATTTGCGCTCTTGCACCGCTGCACCTGCATTCTCGTACATACTGCATGTAAGTACATACGTACATATGTATCCACCCGTAAGATATGAGTACGAAACAGGAATACCGAAATGAACTTCAATTTTTCTGGAATTTAATCGTCGTGCATGTTGATAGAAAAACCAATTTGGTAAAGGAATATTAGTGATTATAGAAAAGTCGGCTAAATTAACTAATATTATTCGTAGAAAACTAGTTCAATATTTCATTTTCTTTGCAGAGAAAAATCTAGATATCGATATCTGTTATGAGTTTCTTTAAAATCTTTTAATAACGGGTTTAACGAAATCTATTTGGAAAGAAATAAAGTTCTCTTGTCGTTTGTCTTCGATTGCCCTCAAGGAATATATTTATGAAAGTGGTATCATTTTTAATATAACATTTATACATAATGTATTCGGTATTCGGGAAGTTTTAGCTAGTCAAGCTAATCACGATGTATCTTTACATTCCTAAGTATGGAATATACAATTGTGAGGATTTCAAAAAAAAACAGTGACTCGTATGGAGTTCATTCGAATTGGTTATATGGAAGGTTTTAGGAGAGTGTGACTCCGAGTTGTATGATTAACAAGTGTGGATTTTACACCTCAGATCTACTTTAGTGACTGAGTTCTTTTTGCACCAAAAATGATTTCTTAAATCTATTATATGTATTATAATAGGTGATTGACAATCTAACAACGTACAATAGACATTTGAAGCATTCATGTACTTTTTTGTCCATTTCCCCTTTCCATTCGTTACGTTTTGTTCCCGATCGGTCATTTTACGAATTTCGTTAGAGAGAAACTTTTTTCGTTTCACGCGACAGCCACTCGTATCGCGGACAACACCTGCGCGAGACACCGAAATAATTCGAAAGTTCCGAGGAGGAACGACAGCTGTTAGAATAGTTCTGCAGACCGAATGATGAAATTGCTTGCTACTTGGTACCTACTCGTGTCCGCGAGGGACGCATTAGGTATAAAAGCTTGCACTTACGCGTCGGAATTGGACGTTAGAAACGAGCGAATGGTGACGGCCGGCACTCGACGAAGGGGTTGCGCGGAAGGGAGCTAAGAGTTGGCGGCTGCCGGTCGGAATTCAAGAGTTGCCGATAGATTCATTAGGTCGGCACCAGGGAACTTGAGGCAAGGTACGTGTTTTCGGTCGAACTTCCGGTCAAATTGAATCACACGGAATTTCGTGGTAACAATCTTCTATTTGACTTCGACCGAGCGACCGTTTGATTTGCCGTGGCCTTTGAGTCTACATACATCGTCCTTCAAAGCGGTTGACTAGGATGGGAACTTGCTTTGTATGTTTGACGAGCTTGCTTCTTGTTAAACGAATTCTTTGGAAACGATCGGGTAAATTGGTCCCCGGGGTACTTTATATTGTACTTGGATTCTCTATACCTTTTACCGCTCTATTTTACCGATATGTTTCGTTGAATTTACAAGTGCTTATTTGGTTTACTTTGCGTTTCTGGTTCTAGTATTTAAGAGAATCGACTCCGATTTCGCCATCATAAGACAGATTGTCAATATTACCAATTAAATTGATCAAATATATGCGTTGAGAACGGGTAAAAATTATACCATTCGATTTTTCCCTTAATTCTTCTAGAATCAAGAAAAAATTCATTTCAATGTTCAGATTGAGATACGCTCTGGTCATTGTCAAACGAGATTACGTCGAGCAAAATCAATTATACATTCAATGTGACATAGAATGAAAGAATTTTAATCCAAAAATAAATTCAACGTTGAAAGCCCCTTAGATTAAATATGAGATAATTCTATATCCAGAAATAATTGATATCATACCTAATACAGGAATGAAATTTTCATTCAAACTTTTCAACATACCATCGTCGTCTGAAATTCGTTCAAATATTTTTATTAGCTCGGAATTCCATCTATCACTTAATGTGAATATTTTACTTTATTCTTCTTTCCACACACACGTTCAAGTCGGATACGAATTTCGAGCGAAACGGGGTCATCCGAAATTCATTAAGAAGATACTTGCGAAGAAGTGGGACAGATCGGGTGAGAGCATCGGTGTGTAAAAGTGTTAATCCGGGCACCGATGAAGCCGATCCTTTTTCTGGGACACATACACAGATCAGGCTGAGTAATGCATTGATCTCTGCCTAGAGAGGCTTTGTGTCTCGTGAGCCCCGATTGGGTCAGCTCGGGGCAACCAGAGATGTTATTTCGAAGTCCGGAGGGATTTCGGTAGGCTTGCCGGGATCGTTTGACATCGTGAGACTAGAGGAGAACGGAGTATAATTAACGACCGCATTCGTCTCGTTACGCGATATATCTTTAATTACCCGGCGATAAGATTCAATTGCAGATTGCAATTTAATACGATCAATTATTGTCTTTTTAGAAATCTCTAACATGGGTCTATTATTAAATTATTTCGCTTGATTTTTTAATATTAAAATGTACCTCTGCTTAGCGAAATAATCGAAATTTGAATAAATATATTATAATTGTTGAATGAGAAATGTGACGCATCACTATTTATAGTATAATTAATTATTTGTTATAAAACGAGCGCGATATATGCTCCTTTAATCAGTAATTATTCATTTTATCAAAATAATATTTGAACTGCTGAATACTTAATGAATCGTGATTTATTAATAGTATATTGTGTCGGATTACGAATTTTAACGTACTCATTGAAAATAATTATAAAATGAGAATAAATTTTCATATTTTGACATATCGAAATGAAACCCAAATTTCGAATATGCCACTGAATTGACCTAATTATTGCCACGTATGCACGAAATACTTTAGTAATTAATAAACTCGTCGCGGTTCATTTATGAATTTGTAAATGGTTAATCGATTTTATTAATGATTCACATTAATGCATTTCAATTTGATTAAGAAGTTTTTAGTAAGCTAAATTCGAATATATCACGAACTGCGGTTATACATATAAAACGATAATTGAATGTATGTGGACTTATTAACGTAGATGTATTCATAATTGTAAATCGATATTGATATTACATATTTCTATATTGAAATTTCAGATCAGAAGGAGAACAGAGGCACAACGTCTCGACTTTCCATACAGAGATGAGTTGAGTATTGGCTACGATGTTGAGTCGTTTCTCGGCCTTGGTGGCCTCTATTTTGGTTCACCTACACGTTTCGTACGCCGGCAACTCAGTAGGTAAGCATTACACGAATTTAGACTCAGTTAATTACAATTGAGGTTTTTTATTCAATTCCATCACAACTGTAATTGTGTTTTGCTAATTAAGACACACGTGTTAAGATTCCTTTCCTATCATTTCAAAGGATTTCATGTTTCTGAACATAAATTGATCTGTATACGAATAGTGGAAAAATGTAATGTTAAAAATTATAAAAAGATGTGTATTATCCTTTAGCACATCGAAGATTATTTGATTCCTTCGAAGAGGATAATACAAGAAAATACAAGCATTTAAAGTTGCGATTTAAGCATCAATCATCTTTCATCACTGTCGAGTGAAAGTTAAAGTGGTATTCGCCTCATCAATAAGTCCCCGTCGGTCATGTTAGCCTTAGTCCGTCCTTTGTGTGCGATATCGATCTCGTTTATCAGCTCGGCACGGAAAATATCACGCCGCAGTTGTGGAAGTCGCTTAGCGATTAGGGACAGATTATACGCGCTGAGTGAGCTCTGGCCCGAACGGACGGCTTGCAGACATTGTCCTATAATTTTCCAATTAAAGCATTGGATTTCCATAAATCCCATGGACCAGGACAGGATCCATAAATTCGAGCGCACGCTGAGCGGCAAGTCACGCTCTATTCGAGACACAGTTTTGCCGATCTGTGATCGATCGTTCACGTCAAAGGTTAAAATTTCGTGGTTGACCAAGAAATGTTTCGAATTTAGTTTATATAGTTCTACGCTATACTCTTATAAGTTAAAGGTTCAATATCGTAACTTATTTTGTACAAATTATTAAATTGCTATAATTCATTTCGAAATTAATTCATTTGATTTTTTAATTTCGTAGAGAAACGTGATTTATTATGTTGTTTTCTTGACACATTTATAGACTTACCTAGCCAAATGCAGAAAAGATAGCGGAAGTAATTTGTTCCGATACGCATGGAAGATTAAAAAAGAATTATGTGAGGTAGTTTATTCCGTAGTTTGTTAGGGAGATGGCATTCCTTAAATGTCTTTCGTAGAAACCACGAGAAACTTATTTCTCTAAAGAGTTGTTTCGCATAAGATGAGAAACTGAATATGATGTTGCAATTGTTTTACTGAGCTTTAGCACGTATCTCTGACTTAAGACTTTTGAAAGATTGTTTTTTCGAGAAAGTGTATGAAACGTTTCCTTAATAACGATAATTGCGAAAATTCATGAATACATCAAATTACTCTTCTTAAAAATATTTATTACATTTATTTATAGTAGATACTTTGAAAGAGTTCTGTTTTACTGTGTGATTTACTTTTTCAATCAATCTATCAATATTTTTTTGTGAAAATTAAATCCTGAAACCTCAACATTAATTTCGATCTCATATTTATACAATAAATTCTTCTTCACTGGTTTTCTTTAATATCATACAATACATTACACTATAGCCAGTGAATTTCAAAATTTTCTTTTATTCATTGAGAAAGAGGAGACGAGCTACAATGAAGCGCATGATCGAAGCAATTCAAACGTTCGGTTCGCGAAAGATCCGCGTTCGCAAACAATTTCCTTTGTACCGCAACGGTCAGCGCCGAGTAATCCCGTGGTCGACATTCCCAGGGCGACGTATTTCGAAATCCTGAACGGTAACTGGGTTTATCCTTTCGGGAAGATTATGTCTCCGCGTCTTTCTACTAGATATTAGAAGTCTCTTCGTTCCTTTTCCCGGAGTGATTGTGTGTTGCCGGTGAATTTAGCTCGCGAGATTGGTCCTGCCAGGAAGTACTCGGTAGTCTTCTATCCTCTCTCCCTCCGAGCTGATAAATTTCTCCAGGATTATCCTCCCGTTCCTTCGAGAAATAGTTAAAAACGGAGCAGAGGAACTATTCCCGAACGAGACTGGACGCATTACCGGTTTCAAAGAGAAAGTTCCTCCGAGATGCTTTGGTACAGAGCGAGGCTTGAAAATTGAAAGCGAAAGAGATGTAGTTTAGTTGTAGTGGTCACCTGGATTGCCGAGGTCGTTCGAGAAAATAATTTTTGCGTGTGTTAAATCAGTGAGGGTAGCGGCGCAGCGTCTTTTCTTCGGCAACGAAAAGAATGAAAGAGACTCTTGGGTGCTCGTACTTTAAGTCCTTCCGGTAGAACGATTCGGCCACCGTTTGAGCCGCCAAATTTGATGGAGAGATATTGCGCTCCCCTTGCGGTCTTTCGAATTCTACTTTCCTTACTTTATTTCCCTCCGTTGGCCGTGTCTCTTCCAGCCATCGCGCTGCCTTTATAACCGACCGAAATTGCTCAGTTTCTCTGGTTTCGACTCAAAGAAGCCGAGACACGACCCGGAACCAACTTTATTACTTCTTCCGGTTCCTCGCTCGCGTGTAACTGCGGAATAGAAAAAACCGTTTACGTAGTAACGCTTCGAGCTTTTATTCTATTCCTCGTATATATGTATAGTTGGTTCATAATACTTACATATAGTTTTACGTAATATTTACATACATACTTTTCTATTTTTTGGTTTAGTCTGGAGACTTCTAGCATACTAATTTTAATACTTTCTGTTGATAAGTACATGATTCCCGTATACTTCAGTGGTAAAGTACAATTCTGTAAGCTTCACTATTTAAAAAATTTGTTTAACCGTACCGTTACAATCTGAAGAATAAGGTACTACAATCTGATTACGATCTGCAATGTCTTGCATTTTAATAGAACCACATCTCTCGTAGAGTCCCAAGCAGGAATTCTACTTATGGTCAAGAAAACAGCGTTTGTACGATGGTCAATCGATTTTGTAACGATCTTTACATTCAAGCGAAATATTGCGCATTTAATTACTTCTACTTCTCGTCAATTCTCTTTTTAATTGTAAAGTTCATGTTTTTTTCCTTATACTTAAATTTAATTTTAAATTAAAGTACTTATTGTTCCTTCTCTTCCTTTTCAGCTTATTTTCGTTAAGTTTTTGTCATTTGTTCTATTTTTAAGTTATACTGTGGAGTTCTGAGACTGAGAATTACCGTCGGCAACACTTCACGAGTTGCAGCGTGCTGGCGTCGCAATGTGTATCTGGAGTTAATTAGAAATAAAGGAATTAAACTGGAAATACTGATGAATTTATTTTAGTTATCATAGCACAAGCAAACACGTCTGTTCTGTCCAATCTCCAAGGAAGCTAATGGATTGACAAAGTAACGTCGCGATAAATTGAGAATCGCGATAAATTGAAAATCGCGGGTAAGCAACAACTGCGAGGTTGATATCTAGGACTAGGGACATGGATGCCTAGGGCTAGGGACTTGTGGACGAAGAGCCCACAATACGTTATAAGTTAGCGTCATCTATTGTTAGTATCTTAGGTTTGTCACACTTCTCTTTGTTTTCTTTTTTTACATTGTAACAGACTTATACTCATTAATGAAGTAATAATAAATTTAATCAGTCTACTATATGGTCACGTATTATGTCTCATTGTGAAGTGGAACGTAGGGGAACAATGTTTCTTGTTAAAATGATGATGCGACTTGAAATTCAGCGAAGATACAGCACGGGTGATTGTAGTTTGTAAGTTTTCAATGTTGTTCGAAGTTTTTCGATTTTTAGAGTCGACGTCCTTTTTTTACCGTAGCTAACAGGTATGTAACGATTTTCGCGTAAAGTTTACGGAATAAAGTGTTTTGTATGGACTTTGGAAGCTACCGTAGCTTCAATCTCAGTGTACCCTTAGGAAAAGGTTTTACAACTTCAAATTACTTTTACGTTATGAAAGTTACTGGTTGCCATGTTTAGATGCTCAGACTTAACGTTTTACGATGCTTCTCATGCAAAGTCAACGTATATTAATGAAATTGTTAAGCAGTCTACTACTTTTATAAAACGTTTCTTCTTTTAATGATTTATTTATGATGAGTGTCAGTAGTTCCTAATTCATCAATATTTACTGTGTTTGAAATAGTGAATTGCGAGTATCGTGATTTATTCTCAAGATTTTTCTCGTGCAAACATTGTAACAAATGCTTCATACATTTTATACATAGAACTGATACACGTGTTTGTTCGCCACCTCTTTTCATTCGCTGCTTTATTTTTCCAAATCTGATTGTTAATTCCATTATCGATGGAATTCCCTTCAAGCTCTAAATTACATCGATACACGTGTACATGAATACGATTGAACCGACATACGCAGCTCGCTGATTATTTTCGAATGGAATTGGACTCGAAATACTAATTAAATGAAATTACTGTCCATCTGACGTATATGAAAATAGCAGTCGAATTGAATAAAACTAGTGAACTAAAAGAAAGTGGAGTACATGTAAGAGATTATATGTATTTATATGTCATAATAATTCTTTTTGTTATAAGAAAACGCAGATCAAACGCAGAAATTGTTTATTACCATTTTCATGATTTTCATTTTATGTAATGTACAATGGAGGAATGATAGTGCTAATTGATTATTAAAGATAGAAGTCGTTTAGTAGAATTACTATAAAAGATACTTCAAATGATATTTATTATTCGTTTCGAACAAATTCATCGTGTTACTTTGTCATTCATGAAACCCTATATCGAGATGTTCAGCTAGTGAAACACGGAGTGACCCACGTTTGATGAGATTCAATATCGATGAAACCGTGTCGAAGCACGCGCTTGCGCTCCACAAACAGTCCTGCAGAATTTAATACTGAACGAATCTAATTAGACTCGGGTATTAAGTGATAAAATTCAATACGAACAATTCCAAAATATTTGGAATAAGTACATTTTGTAAGAAATATATAAGATGATTTATGTTGAATTCTAGTCTTTAAAAGAAATAAAGTATTCAAGTCTTGCAATAACGATTGAAATGAAAATCAGAATTCCCAATACTTTCTGTAGGAACTTAAAACTTTGAAGTATAATTAAGCAGTTGAAATTAAAATTTATTGGAATTCGTGACATGAGTGGTACGCATCTACTGATGACTCTGACATAGTTAATTCTGTCCCACGGCTTTGAAGTCGCGAATCTCATATTTCTGATGCCTGTGGCATACCCCGTAACCTCAGAACACTGAATATCAAGTTCTATGATCTTGTGGTTAAACTATGTTTGTTATTGGGTCTCTTGGGGTTACCAGTTCCGGATTCCACGTTCCTATAGTCGTTAACGTTAAACTCCAAGCTTCTAGACTTGCCAGGACTAAGTCTAATATAATGTGGACGTAAGTCGTATTTTCCACCATTTAACTATTTGATCTTATAATTAACAGATCGTTCTAAAAACTTGTTTACCAAAATACCGTATTACGAAGTACCTAGTGTCTTTTAATAAAACATTTGTCAGATTTGCAAAAATGTGAGTGCAATATGCAGTAATAAAATTAAAAGTATCATAATTGCGGAATCAAATTATTCGAAAAGCGTGATCGTTCAATTTAAAGGAACAATAGAATCGTCGCCCCCTTCGTGTTCGTTTTTTAGCGAATAGCCAAAGTTTACCCCTGTCCTGCCATATCTGTCGGGTGTGACCCGTGCGACGTCGACGTATACATTTATGTGTATCGTCTTGGAAACTCGCGTACGGTCGCGTGTGCTCTCTGCTGATAAGGCCATTCTATCTGTCGACAGTCGAACGAGTTTCCTTCCACCCGCTGGAAAGTGAAAAACTTTTCCACTGAGGCGCACTCGTTCTCTAACTTCGCGATTGTTTCCATAGTAATTCGATTTTCTGCGTTTATTACGCTAACGACGTGGTCGCTGCTGCCTGTTTGCCCGGGGCAAAGTGCTTCCTTGCCAACCACACCGTGAAACGGAATCAAGAAACAGGGCAGCGTATTTGGCATTCGATTTCGACTTACCACGGTGATTTACAGAGTTCGCAGAAACTTCCATTTGCGTAGCATCAACGTATACGTGTTCTGATTCCAACTTGCGATTTTTAATACATTTATTCACACTACTCTGTGTACATGTTTATGTATATGAAATATGATAAATAGCAATATGATTTAAGTGGCTAAACACATGATCCAATGTTAAATTGTTTTAGATAACAAGCCGTTTCCAGGACTGGAAAATCTGCCGAAGTCGTTCTGGCACGAGCTCAGTTCGCCCTTTACAGATGTAAGTCACTTTTTCAACCGAACATTTAGGTAAAATTAATCGAATATTTTCGGAATTCTTTATTTTTATCTACTAATTGCTTGTAATGTACAATGTCCCTTAATCTTTTAAACATCCTGGCATGCATTTTGTTATTGATGCGTTATGCATTTTCGTCTATTACTCATATTTTTACATGTATCATTTTCTTATAAAATTCGCAGTCGAATAATCATCTTGAATCAAATAAAGATGGAGAAAGCACAATCATTTTAATGCATGCTTACTTTGATTTACAGGTATACGAGGTGGAAAGTTTCGCGACCGAAACTGGCGGCACTCCCGAGCCCAGACCTTTCTTCGAAGATCCAGAGAGCAACATTACCGTACAACTCGGAGCTCAAGTGCACATGCACTGCAGAGTACAAAATCTGCAGGAAACTCTCAAGGTAAATTCTCAGCTTTCTTCGTTGATCGTTAATGTAATGACTTTCCTCTAAAAAGAAGAAATCATTGTTATTATTAAAACCACCAACCCAGTCAAAATGATTTGAATGGAGAAATGCATGTATAAAAAAAGTCGATATTTCTAGTGTTATGGAAATTTAGCAATTCCAGTTGCAACATTCATTAAAATAATTAAACGGTCATTACAATATCTGATTTATCGCAAACTTTATTTTTCTGTTACAATGATTCATGTTTCTTGTTAAATAACTATTTATATATATTTAATCAAAAAGGGACTCGTTGAAGTTTGAAACTAGACTTTATTTCTTATTTTGTTACTTTTTTCTTATATTAATATCAAGGTATTTGCTATCACGAACAATTCATAAATTTTTGATTCGCCTTGTATGTATATTTTGTTTCAATGTGCCTTAAATTGAATTATGCATATTTGGAGAACTGCACACCGACGAAATGGATTTGGTTTCCCATTAAATTTTGGGTAATCCTCGATCTACTATACTAAAATATGGATATTAGTGAAGCAGCGTAATGTAATATTATAAACAACTTGATAGACCTATCTGAAATTATAGTTGCTATATGAAGCCTGCAATATGTTGAGACGATGGAGAAATTTAGGCAGTAATGGACGTGCGAAGTGAACATTAAATGAATATAATTTTTTTGCTCTCTGTTGTATTGCATGAGTGTTGCATTTTAGCAAAATGAAACCATTCCTTTTTATGTAGAAACATTATAGTATTAGGGTCGACTTGGAACATGTTTATTCGGCTCGTATCTAAAATAATCTCGCGTTAGAAGAGCATATTACTCTGGGAATGATGCCCCGCTTGATTTACTGAGGAAATTGAAGAGAATTGCCCTCGGCTAGCTTGAAATCTAAGAGAGTGGTATTAGGGACGTAACGAGTCTCGATCGTTTATAATTTTCTGTAAAGGTCTCAGGCTTTATCGTTTACCCGTTATATAGAAGTAACATGGTCAACCCGATATCTGGTATATTATATCAGCTAAGGGTCAAGAAAAAAGCTTTGAAGTGTAATTTCACGAAAGTGAGTTTAGTTTTAAAGTTCTTAAGCTGCATCTAGGGTTACTTTTGTTGCAAGATTGTTATCGCGTTATTGATCTTACTGTACGGGTATGAACTATGAATAATTTTATGTGCAATACTGTGAAAGCAATATCCTTTATATTAGATAACTTTCATTCTCATATCATTGGATTTCATATTTAAACGTCTTTTAATGTACCCTGGTCCTCTTTTTTACACGGTATTTTTTTTAAGACAATTTGTTCACAGAAAACGCGCATGAATTCTAAATATAAGTATCAATTTGTCAGACTTCAGTTTCTGCTCGTACATGCTATATTCACAAGGCAATATTATCTACGTCTTGTCGATACTGTTATCATTCCTACTTCGCATTACATATTAGTTTCACGTTCTGTAATCATGGCAAGACACGAGAATACGTACGAGGAATATTATCATAATGACGATTGAAAGTAATCAGAAGAGAAAAAGAAAATTTATTTCTTTGGGAACGAAAGCAGAAATTTTAGATCTATTGACAAATGGCAAGGGCTAGTCTTGTGTTGGTAAAACTTTTGGTTTAAACGAAGTTCCAATAAGAACCATAAAAAATGAATTCTTTTTGCACGATTTTCTTTTACTCAGTACGCTTTCACCGAGTAAAAGGAGGGTCAGGTGTATTTCGAAATTTATACCTACATAAAGTAGATAAGATTAAGATACAATTTATGCGATGCATCCTAAACGTCTTCTAGATCTTTTCCTACAATTGTAAAATAAAAATAATGTAATTGCGTTTCGTTATATTAATTTGGATTATTTCGTTTTGCAACCGGTTTCTTTTTTTAGTATCGGTATTCCAGATTTTTCTCTAAGATAAGACAATAAGAAGCCAATGAATCTCGCTGCTACAAGAATAAGTCTGGCGAAGTTTCGATTCCACGTAGCTTTTCTGCGTTCGCCGGTTTAAGATCGCCTTCTTCCCTTTCTGTTTCTCGAGTTTCCTCGCTACTAAAAGCTTTGCGTCGTTACGACTATTTTTCGCGTCGGTATCTCGTTGCGTCCGTACACGTTTTTCCCGCGATCCACTCTATCGGCGCGCTAACTCGCGCACAGAGGAAATTCCATAAACGGCAGCCAACAAACATTTTCCTCTTAATTTCGTGGCCGTCCGACTAGAAAAGTGCTTTTATCGGCATAACGTGCTCGTGTGCCCATTCCCGGGGCCTCGAAGTAAGCTACTTAAAGTTTCATTTTGCACTTATATAGGTTTCTTCGTTCATTTGAAAAACGAAATTCAATAGTTTCTAACAGCCAGCGACTTTCTGTCAAAATAGATTTGCTTCAAAAACTTATGGCTCTAAACGTAAAATACATATTTCTTTAAATACTTATTTCTATGAGTTAGAACGATACTTCAGTTGGTATCAGCAAAGATCATATCATGCATAAAAACGTCGATACATCCACATTTAGATTTTTAATAAAAATTATACTCCCTGCTTAGAAGTTCTCTTCACAATTTCATTCAATCCTCGAATATTTTTCTTAGATAAAAAAGGTTTCGACTGAAAACGACGTGGAAATATTTTGATTTCGTACACGAAATATATGCATACACACTCTTTCAATTTGTTATATGTTCTGTATTAAAATGTATTATTGAAAATATTGTATTATTTCTATTATATCTTTTTGAAATTGTCCAATTACAATTCTATATAATATTTTTCTGATTCTATATATGTACAGAAACAACCTAAACTATAATATGAGAAAAATAACGGTAGAAATACTGAACCATGTATCTCTAATGTTCCCTTCGCGTGATAGCTAACGAACTGTTTTTCCAACACTTTTTCCGTACTGTACAAATTGAATGCTATTATTGCGTTCACGTTCCCTTTATTATCTCTTTACCTGTAAAAGTTCATCATTATTATCAAGACTTAAGGGCATAGACTTCGATGGCAGCGCGATAAGGTAGACTGTTAATGTTACAAAATTAGCTAAAAATATGGGTTTACGGGAATACATTTTTTCTCCTTATGTGAGAATACATATTTTCCGGTCGTCAGGTACTTCTACAGAAAAAGGAAAGTAAAATCTGGCACGGTCTGGGATTGTTTTGATTGAAATAATGACCAGGCCGTGCCAAATTCGACTTTTCTCTTTCTGAAGAGATATCTGATGACCGAAAATATTCTTAAATAAGGACGAAAAGTGTATTTCCGTAAATTCATATTTTGCACTATTTTTGCGTGGTTATCGATAAAACAGAAGAAAAAAGTCAAAATTTTGCCGACACGTATTAGAAAAGTCACGTCCACTATCCTAGCCCCTTAATATAAATATTTGTCATACGTCTTCACATTTAGTGACGCCCATTAAACCATTCAATCGCTATTTTTTCTTCGTGAACGACCTAATATAACGCCACTTCGAGTCTTAGGTTGCATGCATGCTACTTAAAGTTCACTTTAAACGGAGCGAGGCGGCAGTCCTTTCCGTAAGTACAATAGAAGGAAAAGCGGACGCTATAACAGCGCCTTCCACGAAAGCCGGGGAAAAAAGACGGAAAGAGGCAGGCAGAAGAAGCTGTTGCCTCGTTCGCGTAAAAATCATCCGGCGTTGCCGTATAAATCCGCTGGAGAGATCGCGATAAATTTGCGCTCGCCTCCTTCGCGGAACCACGGAGAGCTCTCGTTCCCCCTCCTCGCTTCGGTTGCATTATTTGACGGTGGCACGACGACGGGTTCCGTTTTCCTATAGCGGAACGTCGTCGTCGTGTCGACGATAAAAAGGACGTCGAGCGGCAGGAAATAGCGGCAAACTGTTTCCGTTTGCGCTTATTGTGCGACTCCGCGGCCTATAAATCGTTGTCGAACCCGGCAATATCGCCCGCCACCGCGAACCTCGCGCACGGTTCTTTGAAACGATTCGACGCGGCTGGTCGCGATCGTACACGTTTCTTCCACGGGATTCAATCTCTCTAAGTACACTCACGCTTGTTCGAGCGAAACAAAGCTCCAGCGAAAATTGTTTCCCGACGAACAGATGCGCGAATTGCGTGCAGGCGTACGTTTCGAAATCCATTACATTACAAAATCCGTGGTTAAACTGAGGCGCCTGTAACGAGAGGTTCTCTGGCATTGCTGCCTGAATTATTGATTTAGTAATATTGAACCAGTAAATCTCACAGCAGGAATCGATGATCTAGGTGGAAAGAAGTTATATAAACAAATTAATTTACGTCCTACTTCTTTTTCGCCCATAATGTGGCCCACTGTAAAATTGAAAAATTAAAGAATTCCAAGGAGTACCATCTTGAAATTTTTACAATATTTAATTCAAACTATTTAGAACAATTATCAAATATATAATGAAACGAAAGGTACGTCAATTTGTTAGTAACAGTATAGAATGGTCCATGATTTTTTTCCGAATGTCAGTTCTTTCCACTTGGAGTGGCACCTGTGCACAGATGAGGCCTGTGAATTTTGCAACTAGACTACATATTACAGCAACGTAAAAGGAAAAGTAAAAGATAAATTATAGAAATATTTTTCTTTGAACTCTTATCTTTATATGAATATAAAGGAGGACTTCATGTCATATCTCATTTGGATACATAAGAAAGTGTCCTGTTTATAAATAACTTTACTGGTCTCATACTTCTTTTTTTAGTTGTATAAGAGAACTTAATACCTTACGGTAGATTGTTTATCAGCGCCGATGATATTATTAACGAGGGTGGCGCATCGTGGCATAAAATACGGATTCGCTTTCCCGTAAACTTTAAATTACAGGCAGAAGTTCAATCGCTTTCGCTACGGACAGTTAATAATTTTGAAGTTTTCAAGTTTACCGTGGAAATATTAAATTAACTATGATTATCCATGGTGCGCGGATCGCACGGCTTCTTCGATGGTTGCCAGATGAG